GTCTTATTTAGCAAGCCTCATAGAGTACATTGAAAAGAAACAAACAAATACATCGAAAATGCAATGCTTATATCAATTGGTAAAGAATAACAAACACAATCCGAGGAAGATATTTACTTAGATACATCAAAGTTGTTGTATTCCCTATTATGGAGTACAGTTAGAACATGTTATACCATGGGAATTGACCATCTACACCATCCTTATCAAAGGTGAGGAAAGTGTAGGTGGAACTTCTTTTATCACGAACAGAGACTAATGTTTCTCCAGGCTACAATTGATGCTCAATCAGAAAGATATCCCAGCTATCTGCAAACTGCCTCTCACGCATTGCAATTGTCATTGTTTTCCTTCCAGTTCTCGAAGTAATTGAAGGCGTCAGGTCACTATGTATGAAGTATCCAACAAATCTTGGAACTTTCTGTTGTTGTTTAGAGAAAATTATGAACGTGATATAATATGAATGGTAAGAATGAAATGAAAAATACCCCAAACTTACAAATTTATAGTTGTTTTGTTTGGTAACTACTTGATAGAAGCACACACCTTCAGGTAAGTTTTGAACAAAATTTGGTTCATCGATGATGATACTTGTGCCGTATTAATCTTTGTCTAGAGTTCACTAAAATCAAATTATGTATACTTGAGGTAAAAAACATATGGGGAAAAAAAATATACCAAGTTCAAAACAAAATTGAGGACGAACTTTAAATCTATTTTGCTTACTGTCTGCAGCTTTCCCTTATTGTGGACTGAATCAAGATTTAAAACAACTTTTCCCTTAGTGTATAATAAGCATATTCCCTTGTTGTATACATGAATCAATTTCACTAATTTTATCATTTAAACTGGAACTCTATAGTCATGTCTTCTCAATTCAGAATTTTTCTGACGCATCTTCATCTGAAGAAGGCATCACAGATAAAGTTCATTTCTTTCCATTCTCTATGTTTGCCCATATATATAGTTCCATCAAATCTTAGGAAGCAGGAAAAAAATGAAATGCAAGACATGTAAACCACCCTGTAGGATAAACGTGAAGTAGCATGCAGGATAAAAGAGAATCAGAAAAAATGTTTCACATCAACTATCACAGCTATAACATGTCACTGGAGGAAAAATAAGAAGAAAAAAAAGGAGGTAAAGAACGAATACCTGTTTTTTGAAGGAACAGTAGCAGTAGGCAAGAGGATGCTGAGGATAATGTGAAGAGCAAGAAACCAAAGCAGCACAACACATGTAACAAAGAAGCTAAACATAGAACTAAACAATAAAAACGAAAAAAAATGATGCAAAGTTAGTGATCCAAGACAAAATCTCCAAACTTGCACCTACAACACATGAAAGCAAACTAATAAGAAACCTAAAAGGAAAAAAAGAAGACAGAAAAAAGATGTTAAGAAAATAGGAGGTCAGCAGTTAAATATTTGCATCTTTTGTTATTTTTGCCTGAAAAAATAACACTGTTTTAAATGTAGAAATCCCTTTCAAAGAGTAAAAGAGCTTTGACAACTCAGAATGAAAAAGATCAAACAGCCAGTAAATTCTTCTGATGCCCCAGACCTGTGACAATGCTTCCTATTCAGCTGAAGGCATTTTCTTCAAAGCTAGTTCTGCGGCATCCTTAAGCTGCAATTTTTAGTAGGTAAACCATTAGAAAATAAAATGATGGTTAGCAGTTCCATAATAGTACCATTAAAATGACATACACTCAAATTTGCCTTGACACGATTCCACAACGGAGGTATGTCAGTAGAGGGTTTTTTCACAGAAAGCTCTGGAGGCTTTGCATTCTTGAAAAAGGAATGTTTCAACAGTTTCTCTGCAGTTGGCCTCTTTTTTAAGGCTTTCACCAAGCACATTGCAACCATTTCTCTAAAAGACTGTTCGAAATTGAGGAAATGCTTCAGCAATAAAAACCATAAGAATGAGGAAATGCAGAAGTAGAAACAAACAGAAAGAATATGCAATACAGGATTGCAGTGGTCTTGTTACATAAAAAAATTACAAAAACCAGAACAATTGCTTATGGTCCACAGTTCAATTCAGCATCAAGCTTAGTTTAATTCCAGAAGTGAAGCAATAAATAAAAACAAGGGGGGAACAGATAGTGTAACATGTTAATGTCATCCCTAACCCATGTATTTTAATAGTCATTCAAGAAGGCAAAAAAAAAAAGAGAGAGAGAGAGAAAGAGAAAGAACAAAGAAAAAAAATATATCGCATCTTACCATTTTTCTCAATAAGCATCACGACCATATGCTAACTTAGTTTGTTATTATCCCAAAATATGTCTACCAACTGTGTATTCCCACTTAATCCAGATGCCTTGTCAGCTGGCATGAATGAAAACCCATCTAGAAGCTTCATGCACTTCAATCCCCATTTAACCATCAAGAACTCAATCAGGTGATGCCCACTGTTTACAGTAAAAAGAGGAATAAAAAATTAACATAAACCTGTGATACACCCAAGCGCGGTACCAAATGTCCTTTAGCCAAGAAAAAATCAGGAATTGAAAATCCATAACCATCTTCTGTTGTGGTAAGCTGTTATAAAAACCGAAGAGGGAGAATTTTGGAGCAAAAATGCCACAGTAGGAAAAAGATAATCAAATGCTTCAAAGTGCATGCGTGGTAAAAACATCTTTCCAGTTAAGTGATATGTGAAACAAAACCAAAAAAGTCACCATATTGGGAAGAGAAAAACAGGGACAAACCTACTACTTGTTTCATATAGGACATCAGCTCCAAGGATAATATTTGGGCACACGGTGAATATCTGTTCATCCCAAACACCCATGTAAGTCCCAGCACCTTGCAATACATATAAATATGACCAATTATAAGTTTATTGGGCTCTAGTCAAACGTGGCTTCAGAAACTAAGTATGCAATGCATCATTTATCTGTGAAGAACTGAAGATGCATCATATAAGCTAGCGAGTTAAAATCTACTACTATCAAATAAAAAACCATTCCATACTTTGCATGTCACATTATTCAGCCCACATTCTCTCCTCATATTAGCCAGCACCTGCACATGTCAAGAACAAAACTGAAGCAAGTAGAGATGTAACAAAACTACAAGACACAGAAATTACTCTAAACTATAAGCCAAACTCCTAAAAAATAAATGTCTAAAACAGCATTAAAAAAAAGACAACGAAGCAAAAGCGCTTAGATAATAATAGTCCAAAACACATAAATCTGTAGCAAGAAACTCGCCGAGGCAATTTTCCTGAAAACTCATCCAAGCTGTTTTTTGTCCCGAAAAACTGCAAAAATCTCTTCTAAACTTGAAAATCAAGAAGGCTACCGATAAATAAAAATAGTTCAAGCAAAAAAACAACAATAGGCTATTGATTTAAAAAATCATTGATAAAAACTCTTAAACATAACCTCAAACCTGAAAAAGATGGCTCCTTTATCATTGATCCCTCGCTCTATTGGGAAAAAACAAAAAAAACCCACAACACGGTTTCTTCAGAAAGCAAAAAAATGTACAAAAGAACTCGGGCATAAGAAAGTGGAGGAATTAGAAGAATCAACACTTTTTCCTCTTTCCTTTATTTTATTTTAATCAAAACATTTTTTTCTGCTCAACTGATTTTTTCACCATCTATTCTCCCGTAACAAAAGGGAGATGGAAGAAGAGAAGAGAATAGGAAAGTTGAATTTGATGGGGATCTCTTCACATATCTCATATTGACCACAACTTCGGGAATGCACAATGGGTAATGTATGACAGAGAAAGGCTAAAGAATGGATAGGACTGAGTGGTCATCTCAAGTCCATCGCTTCTAGCAAAAGGCATAGATGATTGATTGATTAAAAAAGGAAATGGAGAAACAAAGGGGAGAGGATGGCAGGAGTGGTTGGGGTTGGTGGAGCTTTCCAGTGAAGAGTCTGAAGACCAAGGCACGAAAGAAAGAATGAAAGAAAGAGAAAAAAAGGTCATGTGGAGCAAAAGGGAACTTGGTTGGAGCCGGTAGAGAAGAGTCTGATGAGTGGGACCTCAACCAATCGCCTGCAGAAAACCACAGTAGAGCTAAACAGTGGCAAGGAAAGAGACAGAAGCAAGCCTGGGACGGAAGGAAGGATGAAGTGCAACGACCACACAAACAAAAATTCACTTGCAACGAAGGCAAAATCGTCGCCAATCCCCTAATGCCACGTCACCATCGAGCCAATCTCCTCTCACCACGCGGAGGACGACCACGTCCGACGTGGATCCCGTGGCTTCGCCCTTAGTCTATATGGTTAATAATAATTAATGAGACACGTGATGCAAAAATTTCAAGCTCAATTTGCTTCAACACAAGCCGGAACCATATACTGCAAAAGTTACCCACTTTATCTATCACTTTAATTAAACGTAACAACTCATACTCCTAAAATCAATTTTTGTTTCAACTTTGCCTTTAAGGGCAGCAAAAAAGAACTCTAAAATCCCATTTTCTTCATTATGCTTAACTGGAAAATGAAATCACTAGAACCCATCACAAATTAAATGATCTGCTGATCATAACAATAAAGTATCATTAACTTTGCCAAAATCACAAACACTGTTCAAGCAGCACAAAGCAAACATTTCTGAACTCTCATAATACATGAAATATTACCATAATCAACATCTAATACTAATATTCATATTCATATTAAACACATCCCATAGTCTAACATAACATTCATCAACACCTCAACTCCCTAAGCACCACAAAAAACCATAACCCGAAAACATCCAAACTACTAATCTCAAAACCCAATAGCCCATAAACAAGTACTATTAGGGAGTATATTTACCCACTGTTAATCCTAGATTAATCCTCATATTCATCAGCATCCAAACGCCTGCCAGTCTCAAAGGAAACAAAAGCATCCACACAGGCATACTGAACTTGATCAGGATTCAACCAGCGGCTATCCCACCTACCCATAGTCACCCATCTGGGCTTCTGAACTTCTCTCCCAAGCACCAATCTAGCCAGCTCTTTCATCCAGCATTTCTCAGTTCCTTCCTATCATACTCACCAGCAGCCAACCGACGCAAGTCCACAATCCTCCCACTAACTTCCAGCCCATAATCCCCCTCCAGCTTCTGAACATCGTTCTGGATCCCAACTCCGACGAAAGTGTAGTCCTCCTTGGCGAGAAAATCTCGGAGATCCTCGGGAATGAACTCGTCCTCGTTGTACTCGCGGGAACAGCGGAGGATTTGGAAGACGATGCAACGGCGGCCCACGCAGAGCTGGAGAGTGGCGACTGGGTTCCTGTGGTACTTGCTGAAGCTGGGACGCCACTCAACGTCGAGGCCGACGATGAGGTTGTTCAGACGATGGCGGTGGATTCTCTGGGTGTGGGAGAGCCAGCGTGAGACTTGGGAAGGGTCGTGGGTGACCATTGTGTTGATGCGGTCGGAGTAGAAGTAGATGTCGTAGAAGTCGTGGCTGTCGTGATCCACTATTCCGATATCCATGGCTGATGGAGTGTGTTTTCAGTGTGTGACTGTGTGTGTGTGTGTGTGTTTTTTGGCGGTTGGGAGCGGATGGATCAGCGGAGTGGGTTTCGAGGGAGAATTTTTTGGCCTTTTCGAAGCTGGGAAAAAATGGAAACTCTCGATGGAAAAAGTTGATAAAGCCAAAATGGGGTCAATTACCGTATATGAACTGTACAAAGTACAATGTACTACTATGTATTTAGTATATACAAAGTATATTGAAACGATATAATACATATAGTTGTATATTTATATTTATATAAATTTGAAAAGGGATTTTTAGTGTAAAGGCTTCCTAGACCTTCAAACTCATCATTCCTTTTTTGTAAATTTTTTATTTATTTAAATTCACAAAATCTATTCATTCCAATCAAATGCATTTGATTTCAACATTTTTTAAATACATTTCCTTTCAAATTTTTTAATTATTTCAAAAGCTTCCACAATGTGGCACACCAAACCTTGCTGACCCTCCACGTTTTTAGTGGATTGACATGTATATTGTGATTTTACAATTTGAATTCAGCACAACCTCCTTATGCACTTTGACTATTGACAACAATAAAGAAATTAGTATAACTGAACATGGACTCCCAACATGATCAAATGCACATTCTATCCTTTTATCTAGGTACAAAATCTTTTTTAGCTTTGATCAAATTGAATCTATTCTCAAACATGTTATCCGATATATATATATATATATATATATATATATATATATTAATTCGTTAGTTGCACATTACGTAAATTTATTTTAAAATATCATCTAAATATTTTGATAGTTTTCATATAACACAACTATATTAAAAAGGATGTATAAACAATATTTTGATATTTTCCTCTTATCTTGATATTTTTTGCATATACGGATATAAATAAATAAATGTGCATTTTAATGGTTATTTTTTGGAAGCTTTTTTTCAAAAATTTTTTTACTACAAATATTTATCTAAAAACCATTTCAAAATGTTTGTCCATAGAAAAACATCAAAGTCAATAAAATTTCACAAATTTTATACTCTAAATTCAATTTTTTTCCAAAACTAAATTTTAATCTTTTGATTGGTAAAAAATTATTGAAAAATGAGAAAACAAATCATAAATAGTGAAAAGATGATACATGGAACCACAGGGTTAGGAAAGGGCAAACTATCACTGGGGCAAAATTTTAGCTATAGGATGGGACGTAGAGTGGTAGAATAATCGGAAAAAAAAGTAGTAGAATAAAAGATGAATAGGACTACGAGAATAGGTGGGAAAGGAACCATTAGGCTGTCAAGGACAAGAAAGGTAAGATTTACAAGGAGGAAAGGGCAGCTATAGGAAAAATGGGGCTTCCAGATGAATAAAGGGTAACCACTGGGCCATTGGCTCAGTGGCCACCAGGGAGGGACTTAAGTCCCTCCTTGGGCTGTTGGTGAGGGTTCAAACCTCACCAGTAGCGAAAAAAATCTAAGGGTTGTGCCATAACATTCCCTTGGTCTAGTTGGGTCTGTATACCCACTAGCCCCTACATCAGCCTCCTTAGGCTCCCCCTCCCTCTAGATTAAGATAGAAATAAGTTATACAAAATGTATCGTTGCTGACAAAAAAAAAAAAAGATGAATAAAGGGTGGTATAAGTGGCAATTATAAGTAGTATCATGGGGTTGGGAAATTGGTGAGACCGGGAAAAGTTAGAGAGATGAGATTATATATTTGTTTGGTATGCTTTAACTTTGGGTATTTCTTAAGGTACTTTTGTGCATTTTTTAGAATATTTCAATCTATTTTGGATTTTTAACATAAGATATTCTGGTAGAAATTTACACTAATAGGAAACTCCTTTATTCATTTTTTTAATTTTCTTTTCATATAGCTTATTTTTATAAAATAATATTATTATTTTACTTTCAAAATGTGAACCCATGCATAGCACAAGTCAAACTGCTAGTATCAAATAATTTTTAGCTACCCTTTCCCCTTTCCAACTTTATAAATCCCACCGTTTCTTTGTTGAAAAAATCAAAAGAAAAACAATTTTTAGCTACCATCTACCTAGTACAAACATGTATTACGAAAAACAGGTGGTATAACACATAAAACATATCATATTAAATTGTAATAGATCTAAAACCAAATTATATTTGCTAAATGCCAATTCATTTCTCAATCATCACGTCCAACATTCAAAAAATTCAAAAAGTATTTGCTAAACTATTAAATTCATTTCTCAACCATCATATCCATTATATTTGGCATAAAATCCATACAATATCGAATTTTTTAAAGAAGAATAAAAAACAATTATCAAGACTCTATTTAATATAAGTTTAATTTTAAAATTTCAAAATCATTGTTTGCTTATTTGGCCTAAAGATATTAAGTAGTACATGATTTTAAATATTCAACCTAGCCTCATATTTACAAACCAAAAATGTAATGCTTTAAATATATGCAACTTAAGTAGTAGAACATTGGTGAATAGAGATGGGTAAACTTCTTAATCAAGATATAGAGTAAAATGACAGATGGAAGCATTCACAATATATAGAAAGTTAATAAAAGTAATTTTATAGTTTAATTATCATAAGAATAACAACTTGTGTCATTAATGCACTATAATGTATAAAACTTAAATTTATCACAACTTTTTTTTACCCTCCCACCCCTTTGTACACGCTTTCAATTCTCTAAATTTACCGCAAATTCGTAAGAAAAAGTATTGTTTATAATCTTATATTGGAATTTTACTTGATGTAATAATAAGAATTGCATCAGATAGAAGCATGCACAGTACATAAAAATTGATAAAAATAATTTCATTGTTTAATTTTCATAAAAAAAAAACCAACTTGCAGCATCAATGCACTATAATGCATAAAAATTAAATTTATCACAACTTTTTTTTTACCCTCCCACCCTTTCTTACACCCTTCCCATCCCCTAAATTTATCAAAACTAATTACATATATAAACTTCAAGTTTCCCACAATTTCTTCAAAAAAAATACTATTTTTAACCTTGTATTGGAATTTCACTTGACGTAAGTATAAGAATCACGTTCTTCTTTTAGTGAAAAACTTATTTTCTTTTTTACTGTTCTCTATCACAACTAACCTTTTTAAATAAAAATGATAAAAGGTTCAATCTATTTTTTGTGGAACCAAATTTAGACCATTGGTTGAATAAGTGTTTTTCAATCATAATAATTTAAAATATTTTTTCTTTTAATTTTTATGATTTCAGGTACTTGCTAAGTTCTTAGATTGTGAATTGATATATTTTTTATTTTCGAATTGCATATTTCTAGAGAAAGGGAGTTTTTGGAGCTATTTTGAAAAGTCTAGAATAAAAACTAGATGAAAATTTTATAATTGTATAGAGATAGAGATGATAATATGTAAAATCCAGGCATTTCTCTAGATAACTTCATAATCTAAAAACACAAATAATAGATTTAGAATTCAAAGTAGATCTTGGAGATAAAGAAAAAAAGAATTTATAATAGTAATTTAGATTAGGATAATATATAAACAAAATATATGAGGACCAAAAACTCTATTTTCCTCTCAAATGTTAAAGTCGTGTGTATCATAAAATGTTAAAGTTGTGTGTATCCTCAAGGTTTAGGATTCAAAATAATTTAAATTCTAAAATGATGAGAATTTAGTTTACAATCAAGATTTTGAAGTCAACTCACTACAGTTTAGGAATTAAAATAAATAGAAAATCTACAAAAAAGGTATTGAGCGTTTGGAGGCCTAGCAAGGCTTCCAAAAGGAATTTATATATGTCATAGAATGCTCCTTCATCAGAAACTTTGTTAGTGTATTCTTTAACCAAAATACTGGTGACAGAGTTCCTATCTACCTCATATATAAATACAACCATATCGGAGTAAGATTCAAAATATTCCGTCCAAACCCTGAAAGAAAATGTTTCATGAAAAAGAGGAATATTCAAAGAATGATCCTCACCAAGTATTTGCCCGAGAAACGAGGAGTCAAAGCATAGCATTACAAGGAATGGATGAAAGAAGCATTAGAAAAATTATCAGCAGCTGTATAAAACACTAAGCATGACTCATCAAACGTTTGCAATATTGATATTTTCCTATGGTAACACCACCTAAAATTTGATGGTCAGTATGGTGAAAATAATTCCTTAATTTTTGTCCATTCTCAAATGCTTTCTACCAATTAACTAATTTTTGTGTATTATCTACACACACGCACATATATATGTATTAGAACATTAAGAATGACTCATCAAACGTTTGCAATATTGATATTTTCCTGTGGTAACACCACCTAAAATTTGACAGTCAATATGGTGAAAATAATATCCTAATTTTTGTCCATTCTCAAATATTTTCTAGCAATTAACTCATTTTTGTGTATTATCTTGGTAACACTACCTAAAATTGGATAGTCAATATGATGAAATAGTTCCTTTCTTTTTGTCAATTTTCAAATGTGGGGAGAGGGATGGGTTGAGTGGTTAAGGGGGAGGAATTGTAAATGAGAGATCCCAAATTTGAACCCTCTCACTTATACTTAAAATAAAAAAGTGTCAAATGTTTTTTTTAGCAATTAACTAATTTTTGTAGATAGTCTTCTTCTTGACGGGTTTTGCTATACGTACAAGTTAAAATCCGATTTACACCGTTTGACTGCAAGTATACAGGTCAAATTAGTAGTTTAGGGCGTGTATCGGGTCGATCCCACGAGGAAGATTGAACAATTACCGGTGTTACTAAAGCTTCTCTATTATTTAGACTATCAATGAAATATAAGAAATGAAATCTACTGAATTTATGCAAAATAACAATTAAAAGCTCCTTAGATTATGGTATCCTTAACTACTCATGCAAGTGCTATATTTGGATCATTGAGTACTACTATCTAGGTTAGTTATGGTGTAATTTCCTTATGCATATGAAACCTACTTTCGTAGTGAATCAACTATATTTATAACTAATCCATACCTATTCTCATAGTTATGACATTAGCTACAAGTTCATTTCTTCAATGAAATTACATCAAATGAATCACTAAAACCACATAGGTGTACATCTACTTTCGTGAGTGTACTCC